CCGGCCGCCCTGCCCCGCCGCTCGCCCGGAAGCCTTCCTTCCTTCTCGGGCCGCAGGGGTTCGAGGTGCGTCTTCCGCTTCATCTGCACCCTTTCTGTGGGACTTCAGATGGGTCTTTCGGGGAACGTTAACACCCGAGAAGGAGCCAGAGGTGGGCGAGGGGCGTTGAGCCAGGGCGCCGGCTGCTGCGGCCCGGAGGTTTCTCTCAGTGCTGCGTGATGGTTGCACTGCGGCCAAAGCTACAGAGTGGTCCCGGTGTTGTTCTTAATATATTTGTCCGCCTCGTTCCTTCGTCGTTGGCTTTTCTTTGGTGACAAAGCTTTCGGCAACAGCAAAGCCAAGGATCTTGGGAGAATAGTTTTTGTTTTCATTTCGGTTGCTGCCAGTTGATGTCTTTTGGTTAATAAGGATATGTAAGGCCTGAGTGAAAGGCCTGCAGCCCCATCGTTAGGGAGCAGGCCATCTGATGGTGGGAGCCCGTGCCTGTTTTGAGAGGCTGCTGCAAAGTGCATCATCGGTGCACATGTTTTCTCCTCTGTGTGCTTTCTCCTGGGTGTGACCCTTGAAAGCAGATCGCTTTACCATGGTAGAGATGGACTCTAACCAGCCCATTGCAGGACAGGCACTAGATGCTAAGGAAATGTCTGTTGAATCAGTGCTAAATGCCAGTGCATGAATTGTTTGCACTTGTTGAGATGGAAGAAAAATAGCAATGTGGCAGCAGTTCAATCAATAGAAATTGGATTCACCAAACTATGTGAGTTTGCTATTAGACCTTTAGTATCCAAGACCTTATGTATCCTTTGGTTCAATTTTTTGTTTTGTTTTGGTTTGGTTTTTTTGAGATAGGATCTCGCTGTGTCGTCCAGGTTGGACTTGAACTCACTACGTAGCCCAGGCTGGCCTGGAACTTGTAGTGATCCTCCTGCCTCAGCCTCCCAACTGCTGGGATTACAGGCGTGCACCACTGTGCTTCGCATCTTTGGTTCTATTTGTAAGTCTTTCTCCCCTTCACTCTGACATTGTGGCAATCCTAGTGGGGTTTTAGCTGGCAGATAAGGGGCACTTTGCTTATTTCACAGATGGGTAATTACCTGGGCATTGATTTGGAAAGTGCCTGACGTTTGGTGGAGGATTTTTGCCAACAGTTCTTTTTCCTTGTCATTGACCTCTTCTCTGTACTGTGTAGGGAAGTAGGGCTTGCAGATTCCATGCACTTATCGTGGTGAGCTGAACAGTATTCAGTTTGGTATTTTACCAAGGTTAAATTAAATCCTGAAGACATAGAGCTGCCAATGGAGAAATTCTTCAAAAGGGGGAAGGGGGTCTGGAGTGAAATGTAACGGTAGAATGCTTGCTTAACACATGTAGCAGGGATCTCCAGCATGCCAAAAAGGAAAAAAAAAACCAAAAACACAAAAGTGGGAAGGGCCAGATATCAGCCCTGTCAGTCAGGCTCCAGGGCTGCCTTCCAGATGGCTTGCCAGGTGTTTACCCACAGTGCTAGCACACTAGGAAGACCTGGGGAGCAGGAGCTTGTGTGCATGCAGCTGGCACTTCCTGGATGGTTTCTTGTCCTTCCCCTGGGGCAGGTGCACAGGTGGGTGCTGCCCCAGTACAAGGCTGCTTGACTCAGATTAGACCTTGCTGTGGACCACTGTGCAGCAGGTACCCTTTGGATTCCCTGAAACTGCGGTGGCTCTCCTGATTCTGGCTGAAATCGACCTAAGCCTCAGAAAGAGGACCTTGGGTAGCTCAGCTTCCTCCCCGCTGCCCACTGTGAGTGGTTTGGGTGGCCTTACTTTCAGTTTCTCATCTGTCTCAGTGAGCTGGGTAGGACTCCAGCTAGCTAGTCTGTTAGGCTTGGAAGGAAAGGAGCAGAGCAAATATTACAGTGTAGCAGCCTATGGGAAGAGAAGAGCCTCTGCCCTGCTGTATAAGTCGTTCCTGAACCAGGGATTTGGACAGGCTGGGAGGTAGGGCTGTTGAGGGGGTGGCTCGTCCTTTTCTCTTGGTGCAGCGGGGCTGTAACTGAAGATACTCTGTTCCCAGTTTAGTTGCTCTGGTCTCCCCTTCCAGCCTTTAGGCCTTGTGGTTATCTTCCCTCTGTAGTTTGCCTTTCCTTCCTTCTCTGCCCTGACCCCATCGGGTTGAAGTGGCTTGCTGCTGATTAAAGGCTGACTTGGTTCTTTCACAGTGGAGGTCTCAGCCCTCCTGGGGCTCCTCCTGCCACCCAGAGTGGGCAAAAGCTCCCAGCGTTGAGCCTGTGGTGTATGTTTTGGCCCACAGAGGCCGGCTGAGATAAAGAGGATAGATTGTAAGGTCCTTTTGTCCTCTGCTGCTAAAGTGCAAAGGCAAGGACTGCGGGACTCACTAAACCGAAGGCTGGGCCTGTGCCTTGGCTGGACACATGCAGCAGCAGCAGCAGCAGCCGCAGCAGCAGCGAGGCAGCTGCAGTCTTTTCCTGGGAACCCGAGAGTCCAGCCTGGGTGTTCTCAGCTTTCAGGTGGCCCAGCCGAACAGAGTTTGTGGGCCTCTTGGATTTTGCGTTTAACATCTTTTTGAGGTGGGAAATGTGATGGTTCTTGGAGTCCAGGCAAGGCGAGGGAGATGGTGTGCTTACTTGTGAGGGGCTCTGTTGGTGCACGCTTTCCATTAATGTTGGCTCGCTGACGTTTGTGGAGTAGAGATGGGCCCTGTAGCTGTCGGTCCTGGATGAAGACAGCAGTAATGGCAACGTATATGATTTGTTGGGCCCGGCTCTCTCTCTATTTCACACACAGGCTTTTTGGTACTGTTTGTTTTGGGTGCTAAGGATTGAACCCAGGGCCTTGTTAGTCAGCCTGCACCTCAGTGCTGAGCGCATGTTGTAACAGTAGTATTTGTTTAGTGCTTTTTCTGTACCAGTCCTCATGTTGAGTACTTCTCACACGTTATTTTTTATAATCTGTGTAGCAACTTTTGAAGTAGGTAAATTGATTGTCTCTGTGTCTCAGAGAAGGAATGGGCCTGGAAGAGTTAAGTAGCTCGTCCACATTTGAATCTAGGTCTGTCTCATTCTAAAGCCCGTGCTGTCTCACTTCCCCCCCGTGTGGATGGGCAGCAGTCAGCACACCCTTCTTAATAGTCATCTTGCAAAAGTTAAAAAAACACTCGTGCTGAGCTGATCGTTGTCACCTGCATATCTTTCTTGCCGCACCCAGTCCCTGTTCCTTCCCTAAATGGAGGCTGGCCTTCAGGCAGACACACCGAGCCACTTCCCCCTGCCCTGCGCGGAAGACTGAGGTAGAGGAAGTCATGATGTTTTCTTTTTCTCTCTCTCTGCCCTGTTTCGCTGCCCTCTGGTTAACACAGTGGGGTAGAGCTCCGGGCCTCCTGGGCAGCTGTTGTAAGAAGCCCCACAGTGAAGCTGTGTTCTTGTGTGTTCTAAGTGGGGATTTTTCAAGATTCTGAATGTGAAATCTCCGCTTCTGCAGGTCATTTATAGACCGGATGTGACTGCCTGCCTGCTCCAGTGATCTTTCTGCCGGATGGTCTGCGACACCTTCAGAGTGCAGGTCTTTGTCACGTAAGGGTTGCACCAGCCGAGCATGGAGAAGTGGCTGTTCAGAGAGATCATAAGTCTTTAAAACATTTTGTTGTTTTTGGCATCTTCATCTTGGTGGTATCACTTTTCTGTTACTTTTGCCTTTGTATATTTATTTCCCTTTTAAAATGCCTTCTTAAGTGTGTCTTCCCTTCTCTCCCCCCATTGCTGGGGTCTGGGCCTTTGGGCCCTGTGGGGATTGGTGGGCGCCCTTTCTGCACCTCTGCATTCCGGAGGGTGTTTGCATTCCTACCCAGCTTCCTCCGGGAAGTCGGTCCCAGAACATCCCCTTCTTTCTCACATTATTCTCCTGACTTAGACTGTTTGGAATCTGCTCTTATAATCATTTGCAAGATGCAGCGATATCCAGGAAGAAATGGATGTTTCACACGTCTTACGTTCAGATCTTTGGCCCCCTCTAAGGGCTGTGCTCTGCAACCCCTAGCACTCGTGTGTGTTGTTGTTTTTACTGGACCGTTAGCGTCACGGGGCCCTGTGTCTCCATGGCACGCGCTAGTGTGTATTCACATCTAAGCACACACAAACTCTGCTGCTGCGACCCCACATGCTCGAGCTGTGGTTCACACCTGCCCTTAACATCCACCCCTCTGTTTCTGGCTATTACTGGCCTCTCGGACACCTCTGGTGTCTTCTAATAAACTTTCTCCTCTTACAAGCTCAGCCCTTTTCCGATCTCCCTGCTTCTGCTGCTGCTTTCTCTGGTCTGTGTTCTGGGAGGGCCCAAGACAGCAGCTGTACTCATTGTGTATCCCTCGATTGGCGAGATGTGCTCTTTAATCTTTCTGGAACAAGATCCTACCTAGTAAGTCGAGTCCCTATCCTGCCATCACAGAGAATCTCTCAATTTAAAAGAAAAGGATCTTGAACTGAGGTTGTAGATTATTTTGTAATCTGGACGATACCATCTAAGGCCTTTTCTCTTGTCCCAGCCTCTCCTTTTTATTGATCTCAAATATATCAGAATAGTCAGGGGGATGAATCACCTGTATTTCACTCTAGTATTTCTTTTGTTTCAAAACTGTGTTAGCTATTTTAAAAATCAAGAGTGCTGATGTAGCGAACCACAGCGTAATGTTTTGCTTGCTTGTTTGCTTGCTTGCTTCTTTCTTTCTTTCTTTTTGTACCAAGGATCGAACTCAAGACCTTGCACTTGCAAGGGAGGTGGCAGAACCACTGAGCTAAATCCTGGGCCCTACAACTTAATGTTTTAATTAAAAAATTTTTTTTGCTGATACTAACGGTTGAACCCAGGGTCCTGCCTGTGCTGAGCAAATGCTCTACCACTGAGCGACACGCCCCACCCCAAACTGCAGCTCTTATGACTTAATAGCTCAATAGCCTCTTGTTAAAAAATTGAATTGTCTATCTATATTTTCATTTATCCATCCAGCTATTTAATTATCTTAATTATTATTATTAGTAGTAGTAGTTTTGTTTTTGTTTTGTTTTGGTACCAAGGATCAAACTCTGGTCCTTGTGCTTATGAGGCAGGCAGTGGAACTGCTGAGCTAAATCCCTAGCCCAGTAGTAGTAGTTTTGGAAAGAGGTTTTGCTGTGTTGCCTAGGCCGGCCCTAACCTCCTGGGCTCAAGTGATCATCCTGCTTTAGATTTTTGAGTAGCTGCACTGTGTGTGTACGTGCTCCACCACATGTGGCTACCTGTTTATTTTCAAATGTCAACCTCACCTCCTCAGAAGGAAAACCTGGGGGTCCTTGCCAGGATTTTTTTTCTTTTTTATCTGGACATTGTGCAGCTTAGAGAAGCATTGCACAAGGACTTGGGCCTGAATGTTGTGTTGGCCCCAGGGCCATGGGCTGATCTTGTGAGGAACCCAGCAGCAGGACTGAGGATGTGACTCTTAGGAGCTGAGTCAGTACGAAGTAGGGAACTCAGTAAGTTGGAGGTGCAGAGCCCTCTGGGCAGGTGTCTGCCAGTGTGTAAGATACTGATTTATTAGACTTAGGTTTTTGAAACAGCAGAGAAGACCCATGAGGCTATTTTAAGCCTGTTGTATGTATACCTGGCTCTGACAAGCTGAGGCAGGAGGATACAAGTTCCAGTCCCAATCAAACTATTTAACAGCTTAGTGAGCCTGTCTCAAAATAAAAAAACATTCTAAAAGGGCTAATGGTATAGCTCAGTTCCAAGGCTCTGGGTTCAGTTCTTAGTACTGGAGGGCAGAACAGAGGAAGGAGCTTTAAGTTAGGCATGATTTTGTTTGTTTGTGGACTCTGGCATATTGAGAAATATATTCTCAGCTTTATGTGCTAGGGGTGGGGGTGTTGTGGAATTAACTCGCTTTCTCTTCCAAATAAAGTAATATGTTCTGTGTAGAAAACTTGGAAAATACGGAAAAATATATAGAAGTAAATGAAATTCACCTATAACCCATAGAGAATAACAGTTCATATTTTGTGGCTACCTAGCCTTTTAAAAATTCATATATAAGAATAATTTAGTTGATCGAGAGTGCGTTACCCATCATTGAAATATACAATTTTTAAATTATAAATTTTATTGCAGTGGCCATCTTTTTTTTTTTTTTTTCGTTGTTGTTGTGTTTTTGGTAGCGGGGATTGAACCTGGACCCTTGCACTTGAGAAGCAGGCAGCAGAACCACTGAGCCAAATCCCCAGCCTCCATCTTTGTATTTTAATCTGTACCCATTTACTTAAAAGTAGAATCACTAGGTAAAAGGGCACTGATGTTTTTAGCCAGATGTCTCACTAGAGAGGTCCCTCCTCCTGTCCTGACTATATACACATCCTGGATTGTTTTACAAGTGGATGCTGCCTGTTTTAAGCAGCAGTCTTCTGTTTCCAGCCTGTCTCAGACTTCCCTCTCCTGTTGGGTATATTCTATTTTCCTAGGGTCTCAGCCCTCCCAACTGTCTCCTGTATGATGTGACATGGGCCTAATAAATGTCTCCATTTTATTCTTGCTGTGAATTGCCAGTGGGATGGGTAGAAGAGGTATTTATTTCAGGCAGAGGCCCCCCCATTTCTGTCTGTGGTGGGCAGCCTTTCACCTGCTCCTGGAGGTCGTTTTGTCCCTGGCAAAGGTGAGCCAGGAATCCATTTAATTCCCATTTAACCCACTCACTACTGTTGATTAATGGGCAACTTTATGCAAACTCACTTTCTTGGTCTATTTCACTTTTAGCAAAACTAAATATTTAGTTTATTTTCATGTACAGCACATGCTTAGGAATTTGTACTCTACTGAAGAAATAGGATCATATAAAACTTTTCTTTTTATTTTACTTTTGATTAAAATATTAGTTATTTCAATTATGTGGGGCCGTGTTGTGCATGCATGCCTGTGAGTGTGAGTGTGTGTGTGTGTGTGTGTGTGTGTGTGTGTGTGTGTGAAAGGCAGAGAGAGAGAGAGGGATAGACAGACAGATTATGTGCCAGGTGTGGTGGCACACGCCTGTAATCCCAGCACTTGGGAAGCTGAGGCAGGAGGATTGCGGTGAGTTCCAGAGAAGTCTGAACTACGTAGTGAGAACCTGTCTCAAAAAACAAACAAAAATGACAGATGACAGACAGACTGTGTGTACAAACACTCTTGGTTTGCATTTATCAAAGTCTAGGGAATGCAGGTGACGTGGGGAACAGACGTGAAGGAGTGCTCAGCCTGAGTAGCTACTGAATATTTCAGACTAGCAGCCACTTAAAATAGTGAGTGCATTCAATGAGTGTGAGATTACAACGATGGTAACTATACTAGTAGTTGCAACATAAAGAGGTAAAAGATGTTTAGAAAGTAATTTTGTAATAGGTCTCAACAGTTACAGAAGATCACAGCCTAAGACCTAATGGTACTATGACTTGGAAATGATGCTTTCTCTGTGTGAAGGAAGAAACAAGGCATGAAAGTATGAAAGAAAAGCATTGCTTATAGCAAAAACTGGCTGTAACCTAACAGTCTGATCACAGAGAAGTGGTTAAATTATAGTAAAGCCAATGCAATAATGTTTGCAACCTTTAAAAAGAATGATTATGGGAACAAAAGTGACCAAGATATGTTATGCGCAAGTATTCGTTCCCCAGAGTCAACACCACTACTATGTACTGCAAGCTAATGAAGAAAAATGGTAATTAAAGACACTGTGTGCCAACATGGTAAATGTGTGTGGTACCATTTTAAATGTAAAGAAAGGCCGGTTGTGTGGATAGGGACATGGAGAAGTTTGCAAAAGTGAAGATAGTTGGCTGGAGTGATCTTTAAAAACCTTCCAGCATCGTTATAGTATGGTTTTTGTACCGGAACCAGAAAACACTAGGGAGGTTTTGCTTGCTTTGGAAAGACAGGATGTCCGGAGAGGGGCAGAGACTCCCCCTTCTCGTACAGATCTTCCGTGTTCCTCGTCAACCTGGTGTTGTGAAGCTGGGAAACTACTTGCTGGATGGTCTCATTGTATGAGTTCAGAAGTGAAAGGACTATCACGGAGGGTTGTCTGGTGCTCTACTCCAGGGCAGGCGCTGCCTGTCATCCTAAGAGAGGGCCGGCAGGTTCACTGTCATGATGTGGGCCTCAGGGCTGCCCTGGGGGAACGGGGTGAGGATGGGTGTGGGCGCTCGGGCCTCAGATGAAAATGCAGTTTAAGGGCTGGGGGTGGAGCACTGTGACCCAGGGCTTGCCTAACAGGTGTGAGGTCCTGGGCTTCATCTTTAGCACCACCAACAGCAGGTGTGTGGGGGGCAATGTAAGGTAAGTGAATTTTGGTAGTGAGACACTGATTAAAATTTTATAATAGCAGGAGTGTTGTGAGAGTCAGGAGGATATTTTTAAGGACCAGATTTTCCTTGGGTTTGGTAGGGGACACTTTAGGTGTCGGTAGAGTTGACTTTGGTATCTGCAGGGATGGGTTCCAGGCCACACACAGGCACCAGAATCCTCTGATGCCCCAGTCCCTTCTGTTAAATGGTGTAATGTTTGCATAGAACCTGTGTATCTTCTCCCTTTCGGTCACCTCTAGATTACCTGGAATAGTGCGTCCAGGGTAAATGGTATGAACAGTTTTGTAGAAAAGAATTTTCTGATTCTGCTTGACTGGATATATGGTGCTGAGGTCTGCATACATGTTGGTGAGCAGAATTCTTCGACTCTTTGGTACCAGTTGCCCGCACCTCTTTGCTCTCCACTTGTTAGTGGAGGCTGAGGGTGGGGAGCAGAGGTGATTTCCATAGAGGAAAATCCAGAGAAGACGTGGAAGAAGACGGTGACGTGGTTGAAGAAGTGAGAGGGGATATGGGGGCCTTGGGAGAACAGGTTCTGTGTGCCAAGTCTGAGCTACTGTTGTGACCAAGGGTCTTCCAAGGAGACCAGGAGAAACGCTCAGTCCATGCAGGCTGAGGGCCGCAGGTCTGCGTTCTGTGCACTGAGTGCTTTCTGTGTGGTCAGCGGCTGTGATGCTTGGCTCTCTCACAGCTGATCTCTCCTCCGTCTCCTCTCCACCTCTTGATGAGCCCGTGACTCGGTGGCTTCTTGGGACCTCGGACTCCCTCCTCCACCCTTCTGGAAATCCTGGATATATTGTAGAGCCGAATTATATTTCTTGTCTTTCCTTTTTGGTCCACTAGGGGCTTTTCCTATCAGGGGATCCATGCAAGTGGGAATTCCCGGCAGTAGAAGCGGACGCTGGGAGACTTTTGGAAAGAGTGTGCCTTCTGGATGCCGAGGGCTTGAGGGGAGACGTTGATTAACCTCGGGGGTTGGAAAAGGGGAAATTGAAAGCCAGCATTACGTTGGACTCTGTCCGTCTCACCTGGGCCCAGCATGGTCATCTTGGAGTCTGGATTCTCTTAGAGATGTCACTGGGTAGCTGTAGTCAGGCAGCTTGAAGAGATTCTGTCTCTGCAAGTAGGTTGGCCTGGAGGGTATTTGCTCGGTTTTTTAAGGTATTTTTTTTTTTTTTTTTTTTTTTT